AAAAAAAACTGCAATATGCCAATTCGACTGTGAGTAGGTCTCAATTCAATCAACTCAAAAATACTTATTAAAATCAGACCAATTTGCTTTAAGATGGGAGGAAATATTACGTGCGAACGAATAGCATACGTATGAATTGATGGTATTGTGGTGAATAACACCATAATATCATCAAATTTGCATCTATCATGTCACACGTAATATTTCTTCCCCAAATAGTGGCGAGTAAGATAATGTTATGAGAAAATCTTAGAAAAGTTAAATAGAGAAAGGAGAATTTATTAGAAGCCTCCAACTCCAATCACCTCCAATGGCAACTGATCCAATGGCATCTGCAATTTTTTTAATAACAAAATATGCCAAGCCTACCCCTCATGGAATATTTTGCAATATTATATCATTTCTGGCCATTGTGTATCTAAATAATTTTCAAAATTCTTATACGTCAACATATAAAAATCCATAGACTAAACACAAATAAAATAAACACTATGTTGGCCTGTCCCTAATCACCACACAATCCAATCCATATAATGTGAATGGCTAACAAATCCTTTAATTATCAAGTAACAATCAACAAATAAAATAACACCAAACTTAAATCTCCTCTCTACATAAAAATGTGTGTCTAAGTTATAGATCAAGGCCCCATTTGAGGCAGCTTATTCGTTGCGGTGGAATTTTGAAAACACCGTCTCGCCGTTTGTAAACTGTTTTTGGGCAGCTTATCCAAAAACGCAGTTGATTTTTTGCACTAAACGCGTAACGCAGGTCAAACCCCTCGCCTGTGTTTCCTGATAAACAGCTCATCTGAATAAGCAGTTAGCCCAAATGCAGCCTAAACTCGGATACCAACCAAGACAGACAGGAAACATAAATACCCAAAAAAGAGGCTGATTTTCGTCATTTCTCTCCAATCAACCACTTCGTAATCCGACGGCTAGTATAAGCTTAGCAAATCACCACTCCACTGTTCCGCCCTATCCGAGTCCCCCGATTTCTCCAAGCGCCGGCTGTCGCGCGACCCACGCAAGCTCCCGTCCCTCCACGACTCCGTGCTCCGCACCGGACTCCCAGACTCCACTCCACCACCGCCTTCGCCTCCGGTGGCGATCTCCTCCACCATCTCCGCCGCCTGCTTCATCTCTGGCCTCTCGTCCGGCCGGACCTTCGTGCACGCCACTCCAATCTGCAGCATTCGAACCATCTCCGTCCGAGCAGCCACGCCACCCACGATCTG